GATATAACTATTTTTGGCCAATTTACATTATATTTGGTACAAAGATACTATTTACATGTTATAAGCAGAGATACAGACAAATTAGGAATTTTTGACATTTTGCTCTATTTATCAGTGTGGTAAGCACAATATGGGTTCTCATAAACTATTCATGTGTATGTCAACCCCAAATTACATAGGATTAGGTACAAAGATACTTTCTTGCAGGTCCCAAGAAGTGATATAGACAGTTTTTGATTTTTCTGTGTTTTTCACAATTTTTTTGGTGTCAAAATTGGCCATGTTGGGATTGCATGGTAAATACATGTTGCTTTTACCCACAAATGTTGGCCTCTTTAATTAATGTAAGCATAGGTTAGAAATATACATACATTAAACCACTATAAAGTTAAAACTTCCAAGTTTTTTTTTTCCAAATTATTGTTAACTTTAGTAACTATATCATTAATTTAGAAAGCATAACAAAAACAAGGTTGATGTTCAGTTTTAATAACTATTATCAAAAAAATATATACCATACCTATTTGATAAAAATTCACAAAGCAATTATTTTATGTTTTAGTGTTACCTTGATTCTTGAGGAGGCTTCACAACATCTGGGATGACAATAACATTTGAATAGTCAATCCTAAATTTGCTCAATAATGCAGCCATGCTTAAAAAACCAAAAAATATTACAGTTGGTAGATTATATGTTTTAACTACAGATGATTTAAAATCTCCAAGCTACAATTAACCTGATATAAAATTAAAAAAAAAAGTTGTAAAATCATGCTTGTACCTTTTCATTTAAATTTTTGAGTCAATTACATTAAACAGTAACATACAGTTTGTAGATTCTAGTAAAATGTGCTTAGTTAATAAGGAAATATGGACATTTAAAGCAAAAGCAAATGCTAATTAAACATACCTTAGAATAATACAATCTAAAGCAAGCTGATGCAAACAAGAAAATAAAACACCAAATTGTGTACATGATGTTTTAATTTCTGTTAAATAGCTTCAACTCTTCATTGTTACATAAAATACAATAAGGAAAGTTGAAAAAATGTAAGGAAAAAAATCTTATTCTTAGTTTATCATATTCTCAAAGTTTATAAATAACGTTTTAGTTAACAAACATGGTGTAGGTGATATAATATACCACGAGTTTCTATCTTCTTATATTAATATAGTATCATTCAAAATTTATCAGTTACTCAGTGGACGTGCCATTTTTATGTGATACATGGTTAACAGGCTTTTGATTGTAATGCTGCATACTGTGCAAGAATGTAGACAGCTGTGTATTCTATGGTGATATCTTGAGGTTATAACATTCCTAATGTTTGAATGGAATTTACTAAAGGGATATACATAGCACATGTATCATGAGAATACAGTGTTATAAATAGTTAGTGTATAATACTATGATTTCTTAGTTACCTTTCTCTCTCTCAAGCTCAAGCCTTCATTTTGAGAAGTAAAGTTTAAATCCTTTTCTTTTGTAAATGGTAATACTCTCCTAAAGTTAAAGCTGTAACATTAACTAATTCTCATTCAACATCTATATGAGTTTTTAAGACAGATAACTAAATAGTAAAGGGCTGTCTTTCTTCCTATACACACATTCCCTTGATTGTGTTTGTGAGTTTCAATAAAGATTGTTTCATTGTATCTTTGTAAATTGTGGCCCGTCTCTTTGTTTCTCAACACAGTCAAAGTCAAAGAACTCGGAATTACTTTGTAATTAAATATCTTTTTGAACCTCCCGTTACTCTGCAGACACATCTCATTACTTTCAGGTAAATCAGTTTTAGTTGAAAACACTACCTATAACCTTTGCAATACTTAATGTAACTTACTGTGTAAATATTGGCTATAGTATAGTATCTCGTCATGTTATAAATAATTACAATATATAAGCTGAAAATATAGCAGTGTATGGGGTTATCATATTCATCACAATTCTAACCATAAAGAAGCTTACTTTCGTTGTTCTCGATCAAGCTCATCTTTCTTATTGGCCAAAGAGAAAACCCTAAGCTCACAGCTACTCCACTGAGAACGAGTTGTGAGAAGATACGGTATCAGCATTGTGAGGCCTACAAATTTACCAGTACTTTTAATAAAAAATTTTACTTGTAATTTATATTTGAAATAATATCTCAAATATATACATATGGTAGTGTTCACCAATATCCATTAAACAAACGTTCTTTAAAGTAGTGCTTATTAAATCATTTTGTAATTTGTTTTGAGAAACTATTATAACAGAAAGTTATACTGATTTCACAGAAAATCTAACATCTAAAGACCTCTACAAAGCTGAACAAACCAATGATTCAATGTATTCTAATTATTACAGGCTTTAGTTTCCTTGTTTATTGATTTATGACATTGTGCACTATTCAGTTTGTTATAGAGAACTAGCTTAATTAACTTACATATTATTTTCTTTAGCTGGAACTACATTGTTAGCTTATACGTTTTAGAAATTATTAATGAAAACTAACAATACATAAATAATGTGAGAAAAAAGTTTAGCCACATATGATTATGAATAAAAACATAGAATATTCTATAAGTTTACTGTCAGTATAAATACAAAATAAAGATGCAAAAATGAAGAATATAATTATAGTTAACTTACCACCATCATCATAGAGCCACCACACATCAATCCTTCCCTTCTTTTGTTTACGTTGGAACTGGTTTACACTACTTAAGATATCTTTTGGGATGTCTTTTATTGCTTCTTTCATCACCTGAGAGCTTTTCTGTATTTCTGTAGAATTTGCCTTTTCTCCTTGAGAACTTGGAGACTTAAAACGAGTTAGAATAGGAGTGGAGACTGGAGTACACTCATGGGAGCTTGAAGCTACAGAATAAATAGAAAATTATACAACGTTTGGATTTTTTGATATTATAAAAAAGCATAAATAATGTAATAAATGGTACTTTAAAAATTAAATAATGTATCATAGTATTAAGAAAAGTGACTATACTGTTTATATGCAATAATACTATACAATATGGCTAGCACAAAAAAGTTCTGGATGTTAGATGACTTAAACTCTTTACTGATATTTCATAAAACTTACTCAGTGAATCAAAATAAATAAAAGTTAACTAAGAAACAACTGATGACTATTTTTAGGATATCAAGTGTGCTGTCATTACAAAACAAACAATGACTAGTTAAATTATACAAAACAAAATGTAATAGAGAGATCTCAAATATTAGACAATTTTGCTAGATGTTTTAACAAGTGAAAAGCTGGGGGACAGAAAAAATTCTGAACAGAGCATGCAGTAGTTGACAGACAATACAACTTACCACCACCAGAAAAAGCTGCAAACATCATCAGCCACGAAGCTGTAGGCTTCATTGCTGGGAAAGCCAATAGAAGGAAAAGGCAAAGATAGATAGCTGATAAAATGTTACACCAAGAAATGATAACAAAAAATTCATGAAGTTCACACACACACACTCATATTGTGAAATTTTCCACATATCATTTGCAAGCTCCATGGACTGATCAAGCATAAAGTTTGTGATATGTTTTATGAGGTGTCATTTATCCACTACAAAAAACCTATACTTATAGAGGTACATATACTTGAGGTATAAATAAAACTAATGTTGCTAATTTAGTCTTCTATACTAATATCCATTAGACAAAATGTTTTAAAAGATGTAAATTTTGTAAATTTCCTCATTATCCAAAAGTGAGACGTTTTTGTAAAAAGAAATTAGAGGCTTTATCTATTCATCTGTGGATATCAGTGACAGAATTTAATTAATTTTATATAATTACAACTATTGTCAGTAACCCTGGATTAGATATATGCAATATAAAGAACAATATTAATCTTCTTGTTGTAGTGAGCTGCAGTTTGATTTCTTTTCTTTTGTCTATGATTATTGATTACGGTTGAACTTTCTTAAAACCAGCCTGACTCAGTGATATGTGATAAACACAAGAGCATACTAGGCCTTACTTTCTTGGTCTGGTAATAAAGAAAGAAAAGATGTACAGTATTTTGTAACTATTAAATGACCTAATTCTCTGTATATCTATCACTCATAAAATTCAAGGGGAGGCTTCTGAAGCTTGCCTCCCATACTTTTTTTTCCAGGGTGAGTAAATCTATTTTTTTAGTGATTTTAATACATTTCATCAGTTATATTTATGTATAAAGTTACAAACTACATGTATATTGAACAAAATATGATTTTCAATTTTTAAAATCATATTTTGAGAATGTAGCAATTCTGTACTAAAAGTATTTGTAACACATAGTTCAAAAATAATAATGTAAGTTGTATAATTCCTACATATTTTAAAGAGTAAATTGTAAAAACCTTAAAAGCTGGTCACCAAATTTCTACAAAACCTTTTGTATTTTATTTTAAGGGCTAATGGATCTGTTTGTCCATTATCTAACTACTAGGTCACTAGGCCAACCTCAAGCAAACTTTATCATAGTTTGAAACAAGAGCATGTTAATGGAGGGTTCACAACCCCCTCCATCACCCCCATAGTTGCTGTTATTGAGCATTTATTATCTTTGACTTAAACTAACGTTAACTACATTTATAGATGGTGCCACATCCTTACATAGAAAAACTGTATTAAATTTTCCATAATACAACATAAACACAATCTTATATCTCTCAGAGAGAGTTCTAACACCCTCTATGATGGAATGCAATGAAAAAAATGACCACACTATTGCAAAAATACATAAACTCAGCTGAAGTTTCTACTCCAACAGCCACATAAGACTGATATGAAGAGCCAATTTTTGAGTTATACCAACTTCCTATTTTGACCTTTCAACTTTGGCCCATAAGACACTTCTGCAGCCAATGATCATCTATTAGTTGATCACAAGAAACACTGTGGAAGGACAATAAGAGCTGAGTGTTGAAAGCAGGTACCAAAAAACACCCCTTCTGCAACTCTACTTTGGCTGCTACGTCATTGTACAAAGTCACTCTGACCATTGCACAGTGTATACCATGTTTCAAGTATATACATATTGAGTTCTTAAAGTTTATATGAAACATTTGGTGAGGTAAAAAATAAATTATATAATAATATGTTATGTTATTAATAAATTGTGTGAAAGTTAGGATTTATGTGTTATTTATCACATTTGTTTAAGTTCATAACCTCAACAAAGGACAAGTACCTCAACTTGTCTATTTTAAACTAATCATAGATATTACTACTTCAAGTAATACAGACAGGTTATTAGTAATTGTGTATTAATGATTTTTTTGTAATATATTTTATACAGTTTATAATGTAATAGAAAATAACCTGAAAACAGAATCTTCTTAAAAAGGGACACTTGGAACAGTAATAAACTGATATATGCAATTCAAAATTTTATGTCCAGTTTTCCACAAAACTCATATAATTAGTCAAGTTGTACCAATCATTTTTGTGCAGTCCCAAACATAAGTATTACATTTTTTACCATCAGATTTAGTTTCAAATATTACAAAAATGTTCAATGTTTTTAGTTAATAAATTAAATAAACTCTTGTACTTTTTACACTTAGATGTGTAGTTTTAAAAGATTTCAGTCTTTTAGAATAAATAAACTGATAAAACAATCTATTAAGATTTAATTATACTGCATCAGTGGGTTTTTATAAGTTGTCTAACTTACAGTGACACCGAGTTCTTGTTATCATAGAGACTATCTTCATAAACTTAAAGGATAAAGAGATAAATATTTTAACTTCTTAGCTCCTGTAACTGTAAGCCTGAGCATTAATGATATTTGTTTCTCTGTACTTTCTGTAGAATTGTATAACAGTTTCATTACCTTTATCATCTTACAAGGTGCAATTTTACCAAGCAGGTAGTTGATGATCTAACTGGTTTTAGAGTAGATTTCTTGCATTGCAGAATTTTCTGTCTTTACTAACAGACCCCTTGTGTCTTTTAAATAGTCTTGTCTTTGTCTCCCACCAGTAAAGACACTTTTGTACATAGCATTGACACACAGACTTTAAAACATACATAGCAGCTGATTGGCTTTAAGATGGGAGCAAAGTCATTAATGTCAGTTTTGTTTTAAAACAACCATTAGTTATTAAGATATAATCAGAAATTTGAACTTAATCTGTCATATTTGTAATATATACATTTGTTAATGTTTTGGAAGTAGTAAAGTCTTGGTGCTTTCCACCATATATCTGGTTTAGTCTCTTCAATTCATTAATTATACCTTTAAATTGTTCTTGCTAGTTAATTATGGACTTTTAGCTAATTGCATTTGTAAATTTTGTTTAGGCTGAAATAACTGGAGCAAATGAGTAATGTACCTTCATTCTGTTTCATGAATATTATTGTTATGATAAATATCATAGTTATGTTAATAAGAATATTTTGGGCTATCAACTAATAATAATAAAACTTTGGCAGATTATCTTACACTGATTAAAACTTCCAAGTGAAGACAAGATTTAGGAGATTACTATGCAAAAATATTTATTAAAAATTAATAGCTGTCAACATTTATTAGACAAAAATGTTAAACTGTATTTACTCACTTGAAAGTTGTGCACTCGAGACATTTCTTGGGAAAGCATGATCCGATTCTTCTCTTTCAAAGCCTTGTAGTGCATCAGTTGCAATCCCATTCTCCTCTGCAATGTCATACTCTGAATAATCAAACCCCGTTTGGAGCCGCAAAATTCCCAAAGACATGTGCATATCGAATGCATCACTGAAAAATAACACATACTTAAAAGCTCAGAAATGTAATAAAAAGTTAGAATAACAAAAGTGAGATAATTGTTTAAAAAACTTGGTATTATGATCTTCCAAATCTTGAATATTCTTGTTTCTGCACTTGTTGTATATTTTATAAATTCTGTAATGAATAAAATTTGTTTCTTTTTTCTAGTGATATGATCTATGTTTGCAGATGAAAAAAATTTACAAAAGATTAATATAAACAGCATACATTCCTGCAATGCTAACTTGATAAAAATTATTCAGTTGTTTTCCATAAAGAATATGAGATTTTATCCATAAGATTTCACAAATAGCAGTGAAATATTCTTAAGTGTCAAATTCAGAGGGTGAAGGTTTGAAATCTTTACAATAGTGTTTTTGATCATTATGTAATAATTACAAGTCTAAGTAGACATCCTTTAGCTTAACAATCAGGCTGATTGCTGATTACCATTTATTTTAAAAGGTACAACAAGGTACAGCTCAGGAGCAATTATCAACCACCTTACAAATAAGCAGCTTGTTAATCTGATTAAAGTCATGTTTGTTTTGATTGCAAATTTTAAAGGTTGGACTAATCAGATGCAACTTAGTAAAAGGTCACTTGCTTGAAGGCTCACCCACAAATACGTAAATCAATATGATGGCACACACAGGAAACCACATGATATCAATGAGTTTAGATGATGCTTACATTAGTCAAGCCAATTTGTAAGGTACACTACATATGTGTACCTAACACCCACTTTAAAATATAAATGTGTTTGTTTTCGGCAATTTCTCTAACAGCAGTTACAACATTATAATTTTTTTTTCAATATTTCCACACTAGTGAACCAAAGTTTTCATGCTGAAGATCAGATATCTATACACAAAATATTCAGCTTTCCAGGTTATTGAGAATCCTAGCATAAAGTCCTCTTAAAATACAGCTTGTCATACATTCATGAAGAAATGTGAAAAACATGTTCATTTCTAAAGTCACATGCCTTTAAGTCTTTTAAAAAAAGTTTAAAACTGAATATCCTTTTGCAGTCATTTAAATTATAAGAACTTTGGAATGAAATATGTTTTAAAGTAGGAATATTTTTGTTCATGTAACCCAAGCAATTATATTTCATACACTGTGTGCAAAGCATGACATTTACTTGAAAAAAAAAAATCTTTTAAACCTTTAGAAATAATATATTCTTCTGCTAATATACAAGTAACGATGTTTACTTGCACATGAACTGGTATTGTAATTATTGTGTCAGCAACAAAATAACCATATTATGTGTTCATCAATTACTACTATAACTCCAACTATTTTTTTTTTTTATTTAAAATTAAACATTCTAATGGCTAATAAAAACAACTAGGTTTATAAGAAGAAGTAAAATAATGCTTACTGAATGATGTTGAAATACTCCAAAACATCTTTTTCATCACATTCTTGCCAGTCATTTTTATAGCCCATGAAAATCATGTTGGGTCGAAGTTTGCCTACACCAACCAACTGAAAAATCACAGTTGAAAAAAACAAACAAACTGAATGTATTGGATCTCTTTCTCTGTTTTCTCTTCTTTGTATAAAGAAGCACTTTGAATTTTAGAAAATCTGGTGCTTTATTATTAGTGAAGTTGAACCTTACTTTTCATGGCAGTATGCTAATATTAAACCAGTGACATTAACAACTATCTAATAATATTCGACTTCCTAATGAAAAAGTTACTACATTGTTTTTGAATCGAGTTAAAACACTTAACGAACTAATCAAATACTGCAGTGCTGTACTGATGACATGAAAAAAGAAAGAACGAGTTTACAATCTTAGAAGTAATAATATGAAGATATCTTTCCTGTTTAGATGTTATTTTTGTTTCTAAAAAGAAGTGCTATCAACTGTAAAAAGGAATATGATGAAATAAAGCAGCTTATGGATTCATGATGGAGGAAAATGAAGTCTAATAAAGATGAAGATGGTTGACAAAACACTTCATTATCAGAAAATTTGAAAGTTTCAGAATACACTTATTCCATCTTCAGTGACATCTCAAAATATTGTTACAATGATATTCATTAACTAATTCTATAGTATCATCAAAAACTAATTTATTTAAATATTCATTAAAGTGGTATATGGAATGAAAAACCAACAGAATATGTTACAAATGTAACATGAATTATATACCTGTATAAGTGACCTGACTCCTCTCGAGAAGCTGCTTTCTTGTATCAAACTGTAGAATGCCTTAACTTTTCTTTTTTGTAAATATGAATATGCTTCCCAGTGTAGTTGATCTCGTTCCCGCTGATTTAGTATTATCTAAGAAAAACAAATTATACATGGAACTATGAGAGATATATTAATAAATAATTATAATAACCATAAATTAATGTTGAAAATTGAAGAACTTGTGAAAAATAAACGATTGATTTATAAAACAAATATAAAACACAACCAAAACCGTTATCCTATCATGTAACTAGGTATTCTGTGTACAATCATACTATTTAAGACATTTCGGAAACTAGAATGCTTTCGTACCTATGGTAATATAAGAATAATTTAGCAGAAAGTAATACAAACTTCACTGTTCATAACTGAATTACACAATAAAAGTTGGATACACAGTAAATTACACTGAAATTTCATCTGTCAAACAAAATGAAAAGTTACACAATATGTTTGTGGTCTCTACACAGAATACAGTGGATGTAAAATGTGTATCTTTTGGACTTCTATGTTTGAACTAATTATCACCATTGTTAGATAAAGCATTAAATTCTGCAGTTTAATTTAAAGAGCACATGAAACAATCACGCTGAATATACAAGCATGGTAGAAAAACTTACATTATGAACATCTCCACATATCATAAGACTCAGCTTCTTGGTAATGCTGTAAACAAAGTCAATCAAAGAAGGTCTACTACTAGGCTTTCCAGTCAATACCAAAATCTGAGGCCTGAAAGACACAAAAGATTTGAAAATTAAGTTTACTAAGTTCAAAAGCAAATTTTTATGACTGTGATTAAACTCAAAACTAACATAACAATCTATGCCAGGTTTATTTACAAATATCTACACTTAAACCTATCTAATATAGGTATAGAGCAAAATAATTCTAATTTATGATTGTAAATAAAAATATTCTAAGCCATTTATAAATGTTGACCAGCTGAACTAATTGTCACCAAACATGGCATGTACTATTAGGCCTCCCATGTATTGTGTCTGCTTATAATTGGAAAGCTACACTCCTTGCAGGTTACATATTGCCTCTATATATTAAACAGAAAAAAAAGGCACCACATATTTATAATAAAGCTAGAACATGTACACTTACCTATAGTTTTTAACATGTTCTTGAATTTGGTTTAGTTTGAGGACAGAGCTCAGAGCACCTTTGTAAGTTTGGGCTTGAGTTGATGATCCCCAGTTCACATCTGAAACAGTACAAAACAGGATGCTGTTTTTATTTTGTTTTGTTTTTTATGGTGATGAAAAGACGCGTTTGTAGAAAATTCTATAAAGATAGTTCTTTTTCTTTAAAACATAGAAAAGAGTGGAAAATAAGAATTTCTTAATTGTTAAAGAACTATTATGTAATTTTTGCATTACACATACCCGTGTATCACTTAAAAAAGTTAGCAGAAAAATGAAATTACAATTTAGTGTACACACTTATACCATATACTTTAAGAAATACAGTATTTATATTACAAGTAAACATATGTATATACCTAAATATATTTGCTAACAAGGAACCCATTTTTTTTCGAAAATAAAAGTTTTGAGACATTTTGACTAGGTAAAGAAAAACTTTATGATAAATGTGCGATGTTTCGACAAGATTTTGTCATCCTACTTGCACCCGAGGATGACAAAATCATATCGAAACATCGTATATTTATAATAAAGGTTTTTCATTACCCAGTAAAGCCATCTCAAAACTTTTAGTACCTATATATATATATATATATATATATATATATATATATA